GTCTAACAGCTGCTTTACGTAGGCTTTTTCTGAGTTCGATAAACAGGATGCATTATGGTCTTAGATCCGGTACAAACAACACCATATAAGGCATGTTGAACAAAAGAAAATGGTACCCAAGCTAGACCACAATCCACCACGTTGGCTATCTCAGATAACGTCTTWAAAAAATGCTGCGAGTTCCTGGTGATATTTAAAAAGAATTTTTGAATGCCATCTGTTTCCTTGTATCCCGTCATCTCGTACTGATATTCTCACCATAATTAGTCTCGCAAATTCGCAGGACGAATATTTACAGTTGCCCATTATGTCATATTCATTCTGTTCTAACATCAATTTTCCAGGTGGTCGTTAACCTCTCCAAGCCTTCATCTGATCAAAGGTCACCACACACTAATGTCTTATATATATATACAAGTAGCTGCCTTCTGTACCACATAGCTATACCTACAGTCATCAACAGATGATCTAACTATGGCTAACTATCACAACAAGATCCCAATTCGAATGGGTGTGGTCAGTCTGTGCTGTAGTTGCTGTAATAATCGTGGTATCGATGAATGGAAATAATGTGCCTCTTATCCAAATACGACCAAGACTCCTCCATGTAAGGGGGGGATGAGTGGAGTATAGTATTGCTTCCTTGTGTTAAGTTCATTCTCCACTCATCGCTAAAAACACTCACAGTGAGCTAGCGAATACCTTTTTTCCTCCCAGCAAGTTCTAGCGAGTAAAACTATTTTTGCTCGCAGCGAATACGCGCTCAACTTTAGCCAGTAACAAATGATGTACATATCACGTGTTTATTCAGTACCCTGCAAGATAGCGGACTGGAGTAAACAAAGCGTGGAAAAGCTTATCAAAAATGGCGATAGAGGCTTTGCACCATCACGTGCCGGCACCTATAATACAACTTGGACTGAGTGTGGTTAGATGGCAGAACAATAAAATCCCTTTGCTCTCGGGAATTGAATTCTTTTTCATGTAAAACGATTGTATTGTTCCTGCCATCTAACATGGCTGCCATCACGTGATGGTGCAAAGCCTCTATACAGTTGTAAGAAGTGGAGATTAAACAGCGAGTGAACGAGTATTCACTAGCGAGTTCTCACAACACTGAGTGGAGAATGGCAGTGTTCCTTGTCTTGCGACTTTGTTGCACGGTGAAAAAGAAGGTGCGCCATATTTACACGGACAGTGGGAACGTGGCATAAATAGATTGACATTGYTGAAGCACTCGGCGAGAAACTTTATCTCGACTTCGCAAAACGTTCCTTTTCTCGTTCGATAAATTCTGTTGTCATTCTCATGTAAGCGACTTTAGCCACGTTTGAATTTAATTCACAATTTCCAACCGGAAGCAGATAATGTACAACTTAAGCGAAACAACGATTTGAAATTTAAGGGGCTATATTTCGTATTATTAAATATTAAGTAATTAAATCATAAAGTAAATGCCCCGTCCACACGTATACGGATATCTTTTTTAATAGGAATTTCTTTCTTTGCGAATTGGCCTTCCGTTTACACGTATCTGGCGAATATGCCACTTTTCGAAAACAGATTCGTGTGGACGGGCAAAAACGATTCGAAAACACTACGTTTGAACGAGAATTCTCTCGAAAACGGAAAAAAATCCGGATGCGTGTTAGTCTCCCACACAGCTGCTTTCAGTGTCGTCACGCAACGCTTAAACTGAAAGCGGCTGTGTGGGAGACTAGATGCGTGTGGACTGTGCCTAAACCTGTATGAATGATCTATGGTCATTGACAACAGGAATATTTTTGGAATAACAAAAAGGGGATATTTTTAAGACATTATTTTGACATACACTGGACACTTAGGTTTATCGTACAACAAAACTACAATACAAGGAACAAGTGTAACGCCTTTTGGGAAACTAAAACAATCCTCTATTGGRGAGGTGTGGATAAAACTTTGTACTGGAACATAAGATTACAGTAGAGTGCATACCATATATCCGTGAAAAGCCTTGAAGGAAGTTGCACAAATTTGCCCAATTAGTAAGTTAATTAGACCTCGGTAGACCTACGAAACTTTGCACTAATTTGTACCATTTTGTTAACATTTTCACGGATATATGGTATGCACTATAGAGGCTTGAAATAACACGTTTTTTTGTATCATAGAATTTTATTAGTTTTGTTTTCAGTATACAATTAATATAATGTTAGCGATAAAATAATCAAAATGTAATGGTATTAGATAAAAACAATTTTTTTTCGGTTCCACTATTATATTCAATAAAAATATTTGATTATCAAACATGAGCTGTGAATTAACTGTCTAGTAACACGGTTCATGCTACTCCTTAAACTCATTGAAAACTCCTTGAATTTAATTCACGTTTTCAAGGGGACTTGAAAAGCTCTTGAATTTTACGATTTTAGCGAAACTCCTTGAAAACTCCTTGAATTTTTGCTTTGATCATTACTTGCATGGTTCTGAAATAGATCTAGTCAGAAAGATTGGAAAATATGAAAGTCAGCCATGTGCAACCACCGTATAAAACGTTTCCCTCTCCACTAATGGAGCATTCTCGTTCCAAGATCCTCCTCGGTTGTCGTTCCTCCCCGTCAGAGGCTCTGGGTAACCCTACAACCGGAAGCAAGGGATATTGCCACCACGTCTTCACGGCGCATGCTCGAACTCTTTCCAAGACTAGCCCAATCTCGTACCCAGAGCCCTTATTTTTACTGCGCATGCTCGACGAAATAATTGGGCTCTGGAAAACTCCAATATTTCTTGTGCTGTGATTGGTTCTCGAGAACAAAGGAAGATACCGGAAGTAAAAATTACAGTACTAGGGAAAATAAACAAGATGGCGTCTCGAATTAAGTACACCAAAAAAGCCTGTAGGGCCGGATTTTTCAAAGTTTTGCCGGTTTTGTAATGGAAATTGTATTGATGCCTATCCAATAGATATTTTCGGAGTTAATATAACTAAAAATCATCTTCAAAACCTAATTTTGCAAGCGCAAATTCGCATGCTCGTTGAATATCTTCCGCCATTTTGAATTTACCTAGTCTGTCATAATGTGCATGTGCGAGAAACCCAGAATCTGGGTCTTCCGGTTTGGAGTTTTCCAGAGCCCAATTATTTCGTCGAGCATGCGCAGTAAGAAATAAGGGCTCTGGGTACGATATTGAGACTAGCCAAGAAAAGCATGGGCAAGCCTTTGGCTTTGTGAAATTTACAAGTGGCGAACAAAATCCAAAGATCTATTTGTTTTCGTATAACTCTCCTCTGGAAGCGATTATCCAATCAAAAAGTAGATCTATGGTTCTTCTTAAAAGCCAATCAAATTGCGAGAATTTGTAGGGTTCGCCAGAGCCTCTGCCGGGAGGATCTGGGACCGAAACTAATGACAGCTGCGAAGGAGACTAGGGGATTTACGACTTGGAATTCTTGAAAATGATCTTTGATCTCAAACTCTTGAATCTGGAAACAGTGAAGGGTACTATTGAAAAAACGTGTTTGAAAATGATCAATCGTCGAAGCAAACGGACCGAAGGGTGTTCTGAGTAGTTACTAATGCTTATATTATGCATATTGTAGGTTTGCAGCTCTCGAAAATTGATTCAAGTTACTGAACAAAGCATTTTTGTCTCTCTTCATGCATATGTCTGTATACAAACACTTTCCAAACGCCCAGGAAATAGACTACCCAGAATACCTCTTGGTCTTAGCTTTGATGATTTTAAGCCTTTTCAACCCAACAACTAATCGATTTGGTGTACACGAGTAGGCCATTCTGCAAGCATCGAAAATCCATCCATTATGAACTGTAGAAGTATGATAACCAAATTATGCGTGAAAACTTACATTTATATTAGTATTTAGGATTGAGGAAATTAAAATGATAAAAATAGTAGCAAATTTGTTTTCTAATAGTAATCAGTGTTGCAGTTTAAAAACGATGAGAAGCAAACTCAAATTCCTATAATGACATCACACTCATTAACACATTGGAAGTATTGACTTTGTTATCTTCAAGATGCATCACTCAAATCGTATGTCGTTTGGTGCTCTCAATCCCTAATACCTTGATGTTATAATGAGATTCGACACTTCAAAACAGCCGATAATTAATGTTGTCGATTATATATTATTCACGTGAGTCTTAGTAAGCAATAATTAAGGATGCCGGCATTGTTCTCATAGAGTTGCTATGACGATTAATTGACTAAAACAGTACTTTTTTGAAGTATCGTAGATATATTCTGGTACTTTGCTAATTCTTCACGTTGCATTGAGCAATAGTTTGGCTTACAAGATAGTCCCCTGATGAATTTGTCATAGATAAACATTTTTCGCTATTCTTCGCGGAAAAGTTAACTGTTGTAAACATATTTTTACTTATTAAGATCTTAAATTAAATCCTTCCATTTTGCTACAAACAATGAAGTACTTAAAGAAAGCCGAAAAAGAACTGAGATTCAATGGCAATTAATCGTGCAGAATTAATCAAACTACTTGAGTCGACACTTGAGCTATAAGTCGCCTCCACAGCTGCCATTTGATTTTAAAATCATAAAGTTTTTATAGGCTAGTTATAATTGATCAGTTCGGAGTTTCTCTCGTCAAGATCAGTGAGTAATCCTATATGCTTGGTACACTTGTCGAATAAGATAAACAAAAGTGGTTGCTGAAAAAATTGTCAACATACTGGCTTTTAGTGAACAGAGCAGCTTCCCAGAAGTAGTAGATTTTTCTTCAACGAGAGACAACATGGGAGATTTTCCTGCAATTTCTAATTCATTAAAACAGTTTCTGGCACAACGACGCGAGAGAAGCTATAAATGGTACGAAGAGCATGACATGAAAAGCTTGAACAAGTTGCCGTCTTTGAAGGCAGTCACAAATAAGACCAGCAGTTTTAGACCAAAGACTGACGACAGCTTTCAGTGGACAAGTGTTTTTGAAGTCTTCTTTGCAAACGCTGAAGAGAAAAGCCGAAAATACAGCATGTTCAATGACAATGACAATGTTATGTCTTATTTATTACCAAGTAAAAAGTACATGGATGGTAAAAATGGTGGACTTCAGCATAAAAGACTTACCAAAACGGAACGACAGTCTAAAAACAAAGCCGTCTCGGAAATCATAGCTGATCTAAAAGCTATGGACATGGCAGACCAAGTAAAGAAGATGGAAGAGTTAGTAAGAATAAAAAACAAGACAGATCTTGCTTTACGAAAGATGAAAGAAAAAGACAAGGACTTGGAAATGATGACACAGAAACAGCAATTCTACACCGAACACTTGAATGCCAGACAACAAGAAAAAYAGAAAAAACTTCGCGAAGAAAAACGATTAAAGAAAGAAAGCCATTCGTTTGTTGCTGGCTTTGCTGTTGACAACGCGAAGCGTAAAGCTGATGCCGTTGTGTCTAAACAAAAAGACCAAGCGCTACCAAGACCAAAACGTTCAAAGCTACCCTCAAATCAAGGCTAGAATTATAGCTACAAAATAGTATCTTATTTAAAGAGTGAAAATTTAATTTATCACAGTCCGTCAATCTTTTCTGTAAAGTTTGTTTTTCTGCCGTCAATCAAAAGCAATCATGTGATGGGAAGGATTTTTCGTCTACAGTACTTTATTACGACATCATATCGAAGAGACTTGGATAAAAACAGTCTTTTAAAATGTATTTATAGTCAGTTAACTATGAAATTATCTATGGTTTGACAGAATAAAGTGTATTTCTAGTTTGTTTTATGCTTGAACAGTACATTATTTTGTAACRAATAAATTTGAACTATAACACAACACAACAACGTGCACTACTCTCGTAGCTTCTCGTTTTCACTAACATTTACAGATCGAATCGTCGACTACTACCATAGAATGCTTCGCAAATTTTCTTCCTTAGTTCACTTTGGATTTGGATTGGCATGACGCCCTCATGCAAATGTTCTATTGAACCCTGTTTTGTCTTGTGAAATCAAACCAACAAACAACAATAAACAAATATAAAGAAAAGCGATATTGTTGAGAAACGAACGCGTTTCAAGGGAACGTGCTCATGGAAATTCACAAAAATGGTTTGAATGACGTCCATCTAAACCTCGGTTTTCGCGACTCCTCGCGACTGTACTCTATTAGCCATTTCAGGTTGGGGGAAAGAACTGGTCGAGTCGACATAGAGGCCATTATGGAAATATGTGCACTGCAATGTCAACGTGACCCAGTTTTCCCCCTTGGCCTCGGAATAGAGCATTTTTTTTCTATGGTTTGTCAAACTTTCCAGGTTCATGCCAAGCGGTGGAGAATTATTCCGTTAATTTTTAATGTAATGACGAAGAAAACATTCAGTTTAGCGAAAAGACGACCTATCACGACGGTGGCTTCGGCGTGCATCAATAGAATTGGTAGAAAAGTCAAGAACTTCATTCAAAGTTCTTCAGTAAAAGCAAAACATTTTGCATTACTGCATGGTAGCTCATTTGGACATCATAACTACAGACACAAAAGAGCGTTTTATCTTATTTTTTGGACTGACGCAAAGCACTGAAACCTGTTGCAATAAAAGTAGCTGTAACTGTTTGAAAACGTGGAGCTTGCGTTCGAATTATTCAAAGTCCTTCAAACATTTTTTAAAACATAAGGTCTTGTTCGACAATCGTACGTAATATATACTTATGCTGATTTGTCTCCGTGAACATTTTTTACGTGCTTGTTCATATTTCCCACTTGCGTRAATGTAAAGCTGCAGACGTAGCACTTAAATGGCTTTTCACCGGTATGTACACGGGTGTGTTTCTTAAGAGTTGATTGGTCACCAAAATATTTACCGCAGATATTGCATCGAAAGGGCTTTTCTCCGGTATGTGTCCTTAGATGGCTTTTGACAGCCGATGAGTGAGAAAAAGCTCTGTGACATATTGGACACTCGTACGGTTTTTCTCCAGTGTGGATTCTCATGTGTGATTCAAGGCCGCTACCTTGTGCAAAGGTCCTTTGGCATACCTTGCATTTGTATGGTTTTTCACCGGTATGTACTCGCTGATGCGTCTTAAGCGTGAATGCCCGTGCATACGTTTTGCCACAGATTTCACAAACATGAGACTTTCTTGAAGGTGGTAGAGATTTCTTTACCTCTTTCTCTTCATTCATTTCACTGCATGAATCCTGGTATGAATAAGAAGTGTCATCATCGCAGTTGTCCTGCATGTACATCTCTTCTTCATCATCACTCTCGGGCTGTTCATTTCCATCGCAG